GCCGCCGCTGCCGTGGGTGCGGGGATGGCTGCCGGGCGCGGCGCGGCGGCGGCGTGGCCGAGGGTGCGGCGCGACGCGGTGGCGCGGCTGATGACGGTGGGCTGCGGCGCTACGGCGGCTGCGACCGCCGCGACTGCGGGCGCCGAGCTTGCCGTGCCAGAAGCGAAGGGGGATGCTGGCACCGCATTCGTGGTCGCGCCGCCGGTTGCGGCGATGGGGACGGTCCTGCGCATGGATAGCCGATCGAGCAAGGCAGGGTTTCGTCAGGATTAGGAAAGCTGAGCGCCCGTGTCGGTTGGAAGGTCGGTTGAGCACCATGTGCCGCGTATTCGTGCAGGGTGCTCTGGTTACGCAGGATCAAAGCCCGAAAGGCTGAGAAATGCGGAGGCGGACGCCCCTCACAGCCTGCGCGGCGCGGTGCGCACCGCATGGGTTCCTCCAGCACAGCGTGTGCGTTGTTGGTAGGAGCAAGAACGTCGAACCCAGGCGAGCCAGTGCGGGGCAGGACAAAATCGGACAGCCACGCGTCCGCTAGGTCGTCGGGAGGCAAGCCATCTGCAGGAGGGGGGACGCGGGGGCAGGTGGTGAGTGAGCCAGAACGCGGGGCACCCTTTCCGCTGGTTTGCCCGCAGGTAGTATGACCTTTACCAACCTGGAACAGCGCCATCCAGGTTGACTGGTACACTGTTGAGGTCGAAGTCGAGGTCCATAGAGGACCACGGGGCGTTCGCGTCCATAGGCCGCTGTTCAGATGACAGGGCCGCCAGAGACCACCACTATAATGATGTGCACTATTTTAGCAGCTAGCCAGGCTGTTTGACGAGCGGCAGGACCCTACGCGTTGGGCAGACCTCTAAACGATGGATCTGCGCGCAATTCCTAAGAAGCGTGTATGTGAGTCCACAAATCAGCTTTTCTGACGCGCGAACAAGCAGGCCGCAAATACTGTATACACGCTGGTGCGAAGGCGCACGGGTGGCTTCCATGCAGGCACTGTTGCTGGCTGATGGTTCCGGTGCCCGCGACAGCCGCACTCTCCCACAGCAGCCAGCACCCTGGGACAGACGCGGCCGATTGCGGCTCACATGATGGACTGCCCTTGACCTTCCCGCCACACCAACAAGCTACTGTATGGGGACGGGGCCGAGGAGGGAAGCTGGTTTCGCCAGCCTGCTGATGTCCGGGCAGGTCCAATTTGACCAGGACCCTCAGCGAGTGCACATGGCTGGTGCGCGGCCGTGCAGGGCCCGCCTCGCAGCACACCATATGCACATGCGAGCAATTGTCCGGTAAGGCAGTCGTGAGCACTGATTTTGCCGCCATCCAGCAAGCGCAGCTTCCTTGATACCACGCCACCACGCACCCTGCACGTTGCGGCCGGCTCAATTTGCCGAGCGCTCTTTCCCCGTGGTGACGGCCTGACAGACAGGCATGGCGCAGGCTGCGCCGCTGCAAACGACTAGCCCCTGCATCCTCTCCCCTCTCGAACCACCACGAACGCGCCTGCGCCACCCTGTCCTGTGGGGCCCGCCGGCCACTCGCCCGCGAGGACGTCCGTGCGAACCTTTCAGTTACATTGCAACGCAGTGCCAGCCAGCTTTCCTGACACGCCCTGGACCCCCCTCGGTATCCTAAGAACAAACATCAGTATCAAATTCATAAAGAGCGTTGGTTTGTACGCACCGCAAGTCGCCGCAGCACGTCCAGTCAAAGCGAACCACGCATCGGCGACATAGGCAGTTTCAAGGCCGGCGCCTCGCCGCTTTCCGTCGCCTGCCCCACCCAAGAGTTTGCTGTAGCAGTTGCCACGCGGGGCACGCGCGCCCCTCGCGCAGCGCGCCGGCGTTGAAGCCAGGCTGCACTCGAATTCCAGACAGGAAGGGCGCGGAGGGCATCAGTGGTGACAGATGGGTCACAACAAGCGGGATATGCAGTCCCCGCAGAGGCTGCACAACCTGGCCAGGGATGCGGTGCAGGCCCGCGGGCTCGCGCTCCGCGCAGGCGTAAGGGAGGCGCCGCGGCGCCACACGCTTCTGCGCCTGCATCCTGCACGGCACGTGTAAAGCGTCGAGGCGGCCGGCCTCGTAGCCTGCGCTTTGGCGCGGCGCGCCAACCAAACAATGCACGCGCCGCCGGCGCCCGGGGAGCAAGCGTGGCGGGCTCTGCAGGCTTGAGGAAGGAGGGGCGGCCGGCCGACGGCAGGGCGGCGCTGCCCTGGTGAACAGTGCTGAAAATGTGGGGGACCTTGGCAGAGCCAGGGCCGTCGGTTGCCGCGTGTCGCGCCGGCGGGTCTCCGGGCACCACATGTGTCATGCATGACGTCACGCAATGTCATTCATCGAGACGGGCCGGCGCGAAGGGGCGCGCGCCGCACCAAGCAGATTCCCCGGCAGCGCTGGGGGCGAACAAACGCTAGAGCGGCCGGAGGTGGTTGGGCCGCGGACACAAGGGCGGGAAAAGACAGGAAGGCAGGCAAGCGAGGCCAGGAGAGCAGTTCGGGGTGCAGAGAAGGGGGCGCCGCACGTCACCGGCGTTCCGAACAGCGCAGGCGGCAGGCATCTTGAGCGGTTGGGGCAGCACAACAGACACATGGTCCGACGGGGCGGCGGGGCGCGTCGCGCTGCCGCGCCAGACGGCCCCAGGGTTTCGCGGCCGCGCCCGCGGCGCCGCATCCTATCCAGTGGGTCGGGTCCAGCGTGCAGACAAGGCCGGCGGGGCGAAGTGCGCGCGGAACGAGGCTTGCTAGCTGGAGTGCATGGAAAGCAACGGCGGGCGCGGCTCCCGACCCGCGCGCGCCTCACAAACTGCGCTGCTGATAGGCCCTCGCGCCGCCGGCCGAGCCGCTCGGGCGCGGCGGCCGCGAGGGCCACCGGGAAGCAGCGCCGTGTGCCGGCAAGGTGTAGCTGTGCGTTGACGCTTTCCGGTTCGCCCCGACGCGTGCTGTATCAAGGGAAAAGGAGCCGGCACAAAGAGAATGTGCGGTGCGGGCAGCCGGCAAAGTCTGTCTCCTGTCTTTTCGAAAAAGAAGCCGGTTCTTCGGCTGAGGGTGCGAGGCGCACAGGTAGCAGTGGGGTCAGAGGCACAACGACAGGGAAGTGGAAGGGGCGTGAGTGCAGCGCCGCGGCCGGCGGCAACTCGCCAGCATGAGGCGATGGATGGTCAGGCGGAGCGGACTGGCGGCCGTCTGTGTGGGGAGGGACGAAATATCAGGCTAAGTGAGCGGGCCTGCAGCCCGGCGGCAACTCGTGAGCAGACAAACAACACTGAGCCGTTCAGCACGCAGTGATGATGCAGGATCGGCGCGCGCGCCAAGGCGCCGTCGGGCATGAAGTTTGCGCGAGCGACGGGCTCGCGCGGTGAGACGATGAGCGATGGTTGGCAGGAAAAGCAAAAAAGCGGCCTTGCCGTTGAGGACAGTGCGTCCGCGGCTCGTGCCGCAGTAGCGGCGACGCCGGTGTGGCAAGAATGACTAGCCAATGGCCTGTGAACTGATGGCCGTCATCTGACTGCAGCAGTGCGCCGACAGATTTGGTTGAGCCTTGGTTTGAGGAGAGCGAACCCAGCACCAACGCGCTCTCGCACGAATGCTGGTCGGCTGGAAAAAACGCGCCCGGCCACGTCCCGATGCGCGACGCCCTCGCTCGCAGCCGTACAGCTCGCACATGCGTACGCCAGAGACGCGGGCGCGGCGGCGCCGCGCGGGTGCGCGCCTCAGGCTGCCGGAAGCTCGGGCGGCGGCTTGGTGACGTCGGCGGGCGGCGGCGCCGCCGCGGCGGCGCCGGCGGCGATGTCTTGGAGGCGTGAGATGACGAGCGACATGGGGGGCCGCGCCGACGCGTCGTGGGCCCAGCAGGCGGTGGCGAGCTGCGAGAAGCTGGGTGGGGTGCCTGGCGGGAACGTGGGACGGCCACCTGCCCGCACAGTGTCCGCGACGCCGTCTCGCGAGTAGCCTGGCAGGGGGCGGCGCGGCGGGGCCCGGAGCGGGTCAGGGCGGGCCGCGATCGCTGTCTTCGTGGAGGCGAATCCGTGGGGGTCAAGCGAGAGCGCGAGGTTGCATGCGTGCATGTGTGCCGCTTTTGTGCATGCTGGGGCCGCACGGTCCCTGCCTGACGTAAAGTGGTTCTGGTCAGGTTGCACAGGGTGGCGGACCAAACGCCGTGCCGCACAGCCAGTGCTAGGAGTCCAGGGGTGGGCCCCTGGCTGCCAACAGCGCGACCGCGACGAAGACAAACCCGCGGCCGCCGCCGGCCCGTCTGGTCCGGCGGATGCGCACCCGAGTATGGCTGCTGCCGCGTGTAGAACTCCCACATCAGGACGCCAAACGCGTAGACGTCCACCGCGGTCGTGATGCGTGTGCCGACACGGAACATCTCCGGCGCCTGGGGGGGGGGGGGAGAGTCGGCCGGCATCAAAAAAGAGGCGTGGGCGAGGCTTTCCTTGTGTGTGTGTGTGTGTGTGTGTGTGTGTGTGTGTGTATGTGTGTGTGTGCGAGCACGCGCGCGCGTGTGTGTGAGCGTGCGCGTACGATATGGGCGTGCATATTTACAGGGCGCTGCGCACAAGCAGCGGTCGCCCCTGCCCACCAGGTGGGTGATGGTGCCCGCGCCGCTCTGATTGACGGTCGACCCCTCGTCCTTCAAAAATTTGGCCTGCGACGCCAGCCCAGGAGCGGCGCATCGTTACGCAATGGTTGTTTGACAAGCAAGGTGAGCTGCCGGGCACACAGGGTCATGCCTTAACTTCGACACTCTCCATCCCAGGTCTATCTGTCGCCCCGCCGACTTTACAAAACAGCCCTTAGCTCGTCTCCTGCGAATGTTTGAGTGGACTCGACAAGGCCCCTGCTCCCACCACCCACCAGGCCGAGTTCTGCGAGCACCTGAACCCCAACACAAGAACCCTAAACCCTAGAATCAGAATCACGAAGTGCGGCCCTAGGGTAGAGCCAGTGCGTACGCCACCCACTAGGCCAAAGTCCGCGAGCTTGGGCGTGACCCCCGAGGGGCGCGAGGGGTCGCTCTTGAGCAGCACGTTGTCGAGCTTGACGTCAGAGTGCAGCAAGTGCATGCGGTGGATGTACTGCAGGCTGTGCGCCACGTCAAGGAGGACCTGCAGGATGGGGATGGGTACATGGATGTGTATATGTTGGTGTGAATACATGTGTGCATGTGTGTATGTGTGTGTAGACGAGTGAGTGTGCATGTGTGTGTGTGTGTAAGTGTGTGTGTAAGTGTGTGTGTGTGTGTGTGTGTGTGTGTGTGTGTGTGTGTGTGTGTGTGTGTGTGTGTGTGTG